TATATAAGGATAGACTATAAAAGTCTAGAGTCTAGACTCTGATGTCTAGACCAATGGTTGGCAACCTTTAACCCATTTTAACGTAATATCTAAGTAGCCACAGGTGCGTTAAGAAAATATATTTAGTTAATCAGAAGTCAGAATTGAAAGTCAATAATTAAGATAAAAATCGATAATAAAAACAAGGATTTACATTTATATCTATTAACAATAGATGCTAATATATTGAATAAACGTTGAAATTTTAAATGAAAAAGATATCTTTCTCAATTAAAATTTGCTTAAATAATATAAAAAAAACTAAATTAATAGAATTACATAATAAACTAAAAGTTGTGAAATAAAATAGAATTATATTTTGTCATTTCGCCTTTAAAAATTTGATTTCCTATTAAAAACTTCTTAGAAATTAAAGATATTTATTTGCAGATATTTAAACTCTGTAAAATTTCTTTTTTCACATGAAATAAATACAAAAACATATTTATATATGCATAATAAAAGTAGAATACGAAATGATCAACTGTTTATACAAATTGCAGCAATTATAAAATTACATGAGAAAGTGTGATTTTTTTTTAAAGTTAATTAATGAGAAATAAAGTAAAGTTAATAAATAATTAAAGAATGAAAAAAATGTTTCTTTATGTTTGATAATAAGAATTTATAATAAAGATTTAATAATAAGAATTATTTCTATGTTGTTTCATTAAAAATGGTTATAAAATGTAATAATAACGGAAAATATTCCAGAAATTATAGAAAATAGTCGTTGGGAAATAAATTAAAAAAAATGTTTAATTTTTCTTTGAAAATAAAAGGATTTTCTATTTTTATCATCGATAATATGTCAACTATTAATAAAATTATGAGATTTAATATATTATATAGATTAAGTAATTATATAATATAAACAAATTATTTTGTATGTAATTATGTGTATATTTATGTAATTGAATGGTAATTCAAATAATACCACAATGTAGTTTAATTTCTGAAACTTTTAAGTTTCTAATAAAAGCTTGTGTGAATAACAAAATGGAAGTGTTTCAACTTAAGTTCTTCTTTAATTTTGTAGCATTAGACACGTCTGTGAACGATTTATAATGCTTGGATAGTTGTTATCTAGTGTTTCAGATGTTTGTTTTTTGGTCCTTTTGTACTCTCCTTTCTCCCTCTTTACTACAGTGCAAAATTATACGGGCAAGTAGATGTAAAACTATATTATCAGATGAACATTGTATCCGTTGTGTTCGTCGCATTTTATTGCACGGCTTTCTTGTTAACATTCACGGAGTGTGTGTTAAGCCATTAACAGTTTCACGAGACTCTACAGGGTTTTTATATATATACATTCTCACAGACAAACATACAGACTGTATAGTATATAAACGCATGCACGTAAAGCTCGAGACCGAAGAATCCTCCTCCTTCTCCTAGATAGATACGTGACGGAACCGGAAGTGCATGGAAAAGAGCGAAAGGAAAACTCAACCATATCTAGGGGAAATATAATGGATGACGATTAATTTCGTTTTATGATGAAAAAAACGAAAAGTTTTGCCGTCTTCTTTCCTTGTTCCTCCGCAGAGATTTCGCATATATGAAACGCGAGTGAAGGAAAAAAAAAACAGAGAACGGTGAAGCAGTTTAGATGGCAATCTTTGAGGAGAAGGACAATCGTAAAAAATAACGCGAAGCACGTGCTCCCAACTTGTCCCTGTTTGCCTTCTGAATTGTTATCAGTGAACTTTTGCCGAATATGCACGCTTTCCACGTGCATTTCGCAAATCTACACACAATTATTCAGGATTTGGTAATTTCGGCGAAATTCGAGCAGGTTTCTCAAGGTCTACGTTACACATTTTTTATTGAAACAGTTATATAACAATACAATTCCAATTAAATTTAGTGACTTAATTGTAGATACAAAAAAATGCAAATTTATATTATTTACAAAAAAATGTGTAAAGCTTAGCTTAGAAACCATAGTTTTATATAACTATCTATAGTTTTTATTGATAGTAAATTGAACTATTTTTTTACATTATTATAAAACTTAAACTTAGAAACGATATAGAACTCAACTATCAGCAAAAAAGTTATTATGTAATAATTATTGTATAAAAATAATAAGTATAAGCAAAACTATTCAATTTGGAATTATTATAAAACTTAAGCTTAGAAAGAATATTCAATTCTGTCATTACAAATTCTATTATATAATTATGGTGTAACTTTTAAAAAGATTAAGAAACAATAATTATAACTTGTTGTAGTTAAATTTAAGTAAATATAAATCAACTACAAGCAAAAACTTTCGACTATTAAATTGGAAATTATTATGTAATTTAATCTTAGAAATTATTCTTTAGTTACAAATTCGATAAATGTAGCAAACAATTATTTTATATAATTGTTGTTAAATTTGTTAATGAAATGCAATATTTAACACTGTAGTTAAAATTACGTAAATATAATTCAACTATTGACAAACATTGAAATAATTTAAGCTTAAAAACTTCAGTAAAAACTAAATCAATCATAAGTGTTTATAATCAATAGTTTATTATGTAATTAGAACATATAAATCAATTAAAAATATTTTTTTTATCTTATATGTAAAATTTATGGAAAGTCAAAAGTTATGGTTTATTATGCAATTAAAGTTACATACATTTAAAACAATAATCAATAAGAGCTTTATATTAATTATAAAGTCTAAAATTAGTATATAATTTAGGAAAGATTAGGATCGATTAGATTTTTGCATCATAAAGTTAAATTTAATTAGATCATAAGACATTGAAAGAAAATATATAAAATTATCAAAAAATGTATAGAACTACATAAATTTTATACAAAATGTTTGAAAATGTATTTACTATATTTACATAGGAAATAATCTTAACTTTTTTTTTTGGAAATTTGGTAATAATCTTTAGTTTGACTAATATTTTTGATTGCATAAACACTCTTTTTGAAGTATAGCTACAAATTTTGTATTGTTGATGAAAATTTGGTAAATTTGATGAAATTTGTGTTATGTTATAAAACATAATACTTAAAATTTTATTTTCCTTTTATAAATATATTCTAGAAATTTCTTTAATAATAAACAAACAATTTGATAGTATTTGCACATTTTTATTGAATTAAATACATAAATAAAAATGTACAAATTCTTTTCAATTATATTATATTTTTTTTGTAAATTATATATAATTATAATTGTAATAACAATTAATAAATAATTTGTGAATGTTGTATAATTAATTGTAGTTTTAATTGAAAATTAGACAATAAAAATGATTTAGGTAACACATTTAAAACCAATTTCAATATTTATTATTGTTATAATAATGTTAAATTTATACTGTCAAATGGCACAAGTTTTTTTTTAATTAATTCATTAACACAAATTTTATTAAAATACATTTAAAAGTTTCTATATAACAAATCCCAATGTATATTCTTGTTTTGATAAGAAAGGATGAAAAATAAATAGTATTATAACCAGATTTTGTTGAATACGCGTAACTCTTACTTACGCAACGAATATAAAATAAAACAATGAGGTTGTTGCGTAATAACTTTGGATAATGCAAAATTGGAGGCGATATTTATGGAACGAGGTGATATTGTAATGGAAGACCAGCTCGTTCTTCCACCATCCCAGCCAACAACGTCGAATCTCTCGCCTCTCCTTCCATCGCAGCTCGCCTCTCCATCTTCTCCATCCCCCGTGGACTTTACAATGTTTACCATTGCGTCGGCCATTCATCTAATCCGGAATGGCTTATTTCGGGACTTCCCCGCTTTCCCGACCATCAAAATTGCCGCGATAAATTGCGCAAAACGTTTCCCCAACCCGCCGTTATCTGATGCCCCGCTCACACCTTTCCCATCCAATCTACATGTGTGTATGTACGAGTTAATTAAACTTTAGATCATTAACGTCTATAGGAAAATTGGAGTTGAAACAACCCTGTTTTTTTGGGGGAAAATAATGATAGATATTGTAAATTTCGAGCAAAACTTTAATGCATGTGTGGTGTTCATTGAAGCCATCTCGAAGATGTCTGAAATATTTACAGCGGACGCTGAACTTGAATCGTCTTTCTCCTCTCCCTTTCTCTCATGTGTGTATGTATATATGTATTCGATATTGTTGTGAGTGTGTGTGAGAAAGAGTGTGTGTGTGTGTTTGAGAGCCAAGAAAGAGCTGTAAGAGGGCCGGGGGAAAGAAAACCAGTCTTACTGGCTCCGGTCCAAAGCGAAAAAGGAAAACGAAGCGCACCGAAAAGAGACAAAAATAAAAGATAGGAAAAATAATAAAGAAACAACAACATAATATTATTATTATGATCGAGTAAGAAGTAACAAACAACTAAGAAAAATAATACAAGATGAAAATCTAGAAAGTACAAGAGCTGAAGCAAGTTGCATTGATTGAATTATTTTCTGCAATTGGAGATTGCGAAATGAAAACATTTTGCGCGTTATTCAGCTGTTGTTTTATTGTTGTTTTGTTGTTGTTTCCGCCGCCAACTATTGACTCCCTTTTTTCCATCCATTTTATATCCATTATTGCACTCAATTCCGCTCTGTAATTATTGGACCAAAGTCACGACCGCAAACACCTTTAATGCCCATCTTCGATCTCGTCTCGTTGCACACTGGGCAAAAATGCATTGCGTTGCGTAATAGCTATTGCTCCAATACAAAGTATTTTGTAATTACTTATAAAGTATAGTCTATGCCTCGGTTAACATTACCTCTGCTAGCGAAGTTTTTATATAACAAAGTCACAATTTTATATAAAATTATGACCATAAGTTGTACTAGAAGAAGAAAATATCATCTAAGAAATGATCGGCAATGACGATGAAAATATTGTTAAAAATGTATTGAATGGTTTTTCAGTTAATGATAGAAACTGTAAATTTTAAAATATTTATTTAAATAATAAACTGTTCAAATTTAATGCATTCTCTTACTTTTCTCCTTCCAAACCTTCTGTGCCTTTTGCATCAACGGCGCCATCTTCTTCAGTGATTTAGGACAAATCTTGCTCTGAGAAAGCAGATTATTTTCAGGAGATGACACCGTTTCGATGGAACTTGACGTTGCTACAACTTTCCTTCGTATGTCCGGTGTAAACAATGGTTTATTAATTTCTATTACCTCCTTCTTTCTGACTTCCTTTTTAATCTCCTTCTTAGCGACGCTTGGTGATGGTGCTTCCTCAGCATCTAAGAAGCATAGCTGCGTCTGTCTTCTGGATACGTTTTTATCCTGAGAGTGCTTGACGATGTTACTGAGCTTCATCTTGCGCTCTTCCTTACATCTCATATACATGTTCCTCGAAGTCTCCATATACTCTCGATTCCTGTCGTGGAACTGCTTTTTGCAGTGATAACTCCATAGCTCTTCGGATTCATCGATGATGTAAGGGTTATGCTTTTCCAGATTCAATAACTGATTGGGCTTTAATTTTTCCAGGATCGGTTTCAGTAATGCATACGACGCTCCTCTTGTATACACCAGTGACTCTACATTCTTTTGGATTACATTGTTGCAGAGTGAAGAAAGGGTGGGAATATTGCTGGTTACCACTTTGATACCTGAATATAGCTTCGTACGAGTGGTTTTGCTGTAAAACATCTGGGAAATATCCTCGTGCTCTTGAAACATCCTTGTCTTGTTATCGTTTATTGCAAGCAAATCCGGCATCGATCTACTATTAATTTTCTTCTGTTCAAGTTTATTTAACAAATATTCCAAAGATTTATTAGTACTTTTCTGTGAGTTTACATCACAAGAGGATTTGTAAGCCTTTTGAAGTCTGGGATCATTCGTAATCCCATGACAAGATATTCCAATTCGTTTATACAGTTTTCTACAGTCCTCAGTATCTATGTAATTGATTTCATACAACTTCCACGGTACATCACTATATTGTGGATTAGACGACATAACAGTGGAACTGCTATCTCCTACTCTAACATTGTTATCTTCTATCATCAATGCATCACCAAAACTGATCCTTGAATCAACATCAAAACCATCATAATCCAATACTTTCTTCTTAGTGTCATGATAAGATATACTACTTTCTGATGAGCTATTTCTCCATTCATTATCTTCATTACTGGGTTCGCGCTTCCGTTTCATGTTATTCCTATTGTAAAAATTATCCTCTTGTACCTTCTTCACATTGCTACAATAATCCTTTTTCAAACTGTTGTTCGTTTTACTTTCATGTTGTCTGGACTTCACTCCAGAGTAGTTCGCGAATTTTCCACTAATAGTCTGTTTAATATTCGAAACATCAGAAAAACAATCCGAATCTCTTAGAATAAAATCATTCTCCAAACCTTCCAATTCGTTACATGGAATTTCTAATGATCTGGTTTTCTCTTTTCTAACATCTCCTTGCATCTTCCTCTCCTTTTTAAGATTATCTGATAAATCTATTACTGATCGTTCTAATATCTCAAGACTTCCCATTGGCGAGGACTTAACTACAGAATAGTTTGCAGAATTACTTCTAATAGTAGGTTTTATACTGGGATCATTGTTAAACGCACTAATAACGGAATCACTTACAATCAAATAATCCTCCAAAATTTTCTTTTTCGTTTTATCGCTAATTTTTGAAGATCTACTAGATGCTGATGAAATGGTTTTTTCTTTTCTATCATTCTTTTGCGGCTTCCTTACTTCGTTGTGGTTGTTCAATTTACAAATATTGTCTATTGAAGTATCTATATACTTCTTTTTATGCGACAAATCGATTGTTGATTGTTCTAATTTCTTAAGACTTTCAAATGGCGCAGATTTAATAGTACGTTTTATACTGGGATCACTCTGATTCGAAACATCAGCAACGTACGAATTACCTACAATTGAATCATCCTTTAAAACTTCCTTTTTTATGACACAGCTGTTTCTTGAAGATCTACTATTTGCTCGTGATATGGTTTTCTTTTTTCTAACATCGTCTTGCACTTTTGTTACTTTACTGTTGTGGTTCACTTTGCAGATATTTTCTACTGAAGTGTTAATATCCTTCTTTTCAAGATCATGTAATAATTCTATTGTTGATTGTTCTAATATCTTAAGACTGTCCAATGGCGCGGACTTAACTGCAAAGTTGTTTGCAGATCTACTAATTGCTCGTGATATGGTTTTCTTTTTTCTAACATCGTCTTGCACCTTTGTTACTTCATTGCTGTGTTTCAATTTGCAGATATTTTCTTTTGAAGTGTTCATATCCTTCCTTTCAAGATCACGTGATAATTCTATTGTTGATTGGTCTACTATCTTAAGACTTTCCAATGGCGCGGACTTAACTGAAATGTGGTTTTCAGATTTTCTTCTAATAGTACGTTTTATACTGGGATCACTCTGATTCGAAACATCAGCAACGTCCGAATTACCTGCAATTGAATCAGCCTGTAAAACTTCCTTTTTAATGACACAGTTGTTTCTTGAAGATCTACTAATTGCTCGTGACATGGTTTTCTTTTTTCTAACATCGTCTTGCACTTTTGTTACTTCACTGTTGTGTTTTACTTTGCAGATATTTTCTATTGAAGTGTTCATATCCTTCCTTTCAAGATCACGTGATAATTCTTTTGTTGATTGTTTTAATATCTTAAGACTTTCCAATGGCGCGGACTTAACTGCAATGTGGTTTGCAGATTCTCTTCTAATAGCATGTTTTATACTGGGACCACTCTGATTTGAAACATCAGCTACATTCGAATTACTTACAATTAAATCATCATCCAAAACTTCCTTTTTAATGACACAGTTGTTTCTTGAAGATCTACTAATTTCTCGTGATATGGTTTTCTTTTTTCTAACATCGTCTTGCACCTTTGTTACTTCACTGTTGTGGTTCTCTTTCCAGATATTTCCTATTGAAGTGTTCATATCCTTCTTTTCAAGATCATGTGATACATCTACTGTTGATTGTCCTAATATCTCACTATTTTTGATTGATGTGGACTTATCTACAGAATAGCTTGATGAGTTTCTTGTATTAGTCAATTTGATATTAGGATTACGCATTTTTGAAGCTTTTGGCGATACAAACTCATCCTGCAGAGCCTCACTATTGCTTGAATATCCAATACTTGCTAATGATTTCGTTTCTTCTTTAACACTTTTATGCGTTTCAGACTTCTTTATCAACAAACTCGAGGATTTTCTACGAATGATCATTTTTATACCATTATTCAAACCATTATCTAAAATCGACTCCCATTCACAATCAATCTTATGATCTTTCTCATTATCACTGTCATCGCTGCTGCTGCTGCTTCCAGAGGATGAGCCACTTTCATCATCACTGCTGTCGCTACTGATACATTCTGAGGATGAACTACTCGTATCATCACTGCTGTCGCTACTGCTACTTCCAGAAGATGAGCTACTCTCATCACCACTGTTCTCACTACTGCTGCTTCCTGAGGACGAGCTACTCTCATCATCATGCGTTGTTTGAAGTTTGATTGGATCATCCTTTTTCTCACTACGTTCTACACATAATCCACTGTCACGTTTAAATACTTTTTTTTTTGAGTGATACATTTTTTTTTTCTAATTTACAGTAATTCACTATTGTTTAACTGATTTGCAACTTAAATAATTGGCAATGAAACAATTTACACATAAATACAAAATAAAAAATTAGCAACCAGATGTAATAAAATAACAAATATTTTTACTAATATTTAAAATATAAAAACAAACATAAATTAAAATTTTAAAACTTTTACATATTTTTTTATGAAAGTTTGTAATATTTCTCACATAATTATGTTTTTTCTTATAATTACTTGAAAATTAAATTCTTAGTCTTAAAATTATAATGAAAATTTATACTAAAATAAACAAAAAATACATATTTGTTTCGTAAAATTTCTTTATAAATAAGCCTTTTATATAGGTATTGTCTTATTACTGATCGAAACTACATTAAATCATTTCTCAAAAATTTGTAGATTACCTTTCATAAGACTTTCTATTACATCTTTCATTGTTATTTGTTGCAACTCTTTCGGTTTTCTCTGTAACATTTGGTACTGAATTTGTGATGTGAGTTTTGTGTAGCTTTGTAATGTAGATTTGTTATAGGGAAACAAATTTCTTCTTTCGTTCTTTTAAAAACAACCAAACTTTTGCCTGATAGTGCAAACTTATTTAATAATTTTATAAACAATTAAAAAAATATTATCAATTTTGAAATAATCAACACTATATATAATGGATTTTTACTAAGAAATAATCTAGTTTTAAGAATAGGATATTTAAATAAATATTTTAGATATATTTATTTAAAAGAATTTATAAAGAAATGTTTGTATGTATTTTTTGCTTTGACAATTTTATCAATTTATAAATTTCGCCTTCAATATCTTTCATGTGAAACTTTTATAGAATGCACAGCTGATATCATTCTTCAGTAGTATGAAAATTATTTTCTTTGAGAAATTTGTATTGTAATGTCACAAACGTCTGTACTTTCTATAAAATGTTGATGAAAAAACACTTAAATAAGGATACTATAATTGGTAGTAAAAAAACAAAACTATTTAATTCAATTATCACAAATTAACTCTTCTGTTTTTAAATAAAAATTTTGTAATTTTATATTCTCAATATCTAAATACAACAATACCTCGCATAGTGCGGGTAGTGTATGTTTTAAAACTGCACTAATCGAGGACTATTCTATATAAGGTCTAAACTGCATAAAGAAAAAAATACATTTGGTATGTATTATTTTTTTAGGCTTTAGTTTTCTAATCCTCAATTATAATTTAGTTTTAAATTATTTATACCGTATTATAGTAAAACCGTACTAATCGAAACTTCCGTATGCGAGGGATTGCTGTATAAATAGAAAAGTTAAAATTGCAACAAAAGTAAAAAGAACATTGCATTTCTTTCAATCGTCGTTTGATATGTAAAAAAAAGGAAATTCGTTTACGTTTCGCAAATGGTAAATTATTCGCACTGGAAATGCCGTATGTAGTAGTATACAGTATGCAGCAGGCAGACAGCAAGCAGCAGAACGGGGAATTAAGCATGGATTCGATTTATTGAAAGCGTTTCAAAGCAAACATCCGCAAACTATAAATCATCTGGTCTGTTAAAGGATTTAGTTAGATTTGCATTCAATAAACAAGACTCGGGATCCGCAGCAAACAAATCACATTGTTTGTATGTGTATATGTGTATGTATATATTTATATATGTATATAAGGAGTCGGTCCATTAATCAACGCAGACATTGCCATTTGGCCTCTCCTACTTAATCGTCTTAACCAATTTATTTATTGCCCATTTTTATACATGCAAAAAACAATCTTGGATGTATGCACAAAGAGGAAGAAGACTAAGAAGAAACAAAAGGAATAGTTAGTTCTCTTCTTTTGTTTCAGACGAGCGCATTGAATATGTATTTACGCTCCTCTGACAAGTCTGGATGGAAATTATCTTAAAATTATAAGAGTGTGTTGTTATGTGTTGCTAAGCAACATTTATTTATTGATTACTTAACTATAGACGATTATATAATAATTATGTTTACGCTTGATTTATCATATGTTACATTCAGTTTACCGTTGTGTACTATTCTTATTTAATTGTGTATACAGGATATATATCTCATATATTATGGTTCCGTCAATATCCCGCACTGTTTGAAGCCGGACTAATTGAGGACTTTAAAATCATATAAAAAGAGACTACAATCAATTGCAAAATGACAGTTGTCAAACTTATGTCAAAGTCAAAGTGAAGAACTTTGAGAAGCTTTTAGTAATTGGGTGTGTGTGTTGCTAAGCAACATTTATTTATTGATTACGTAACTATAGACGATTATATAATAATTAAGTTTACGCTTGATTTATCATATGATACATTCAGCTTACCGTTGTGTACAATACATAAAATGTATATACAGGCATATCTCCAATAGCACGGATAATCGGTTTCGTCAATATCCCGCACTGTTTGAATCCGTACTAATTGAGGACTTTAAAATCATATAAAAAGAGACTACAATCAATTGAAAAATGACAGCTGTCAAACTTATGTCAAAGTCAAAGTGAAGAACTTTGAGAAGTTTTTAGCAATTGGGTGTGTGTGTTGCTGAGCATAATTTATTTATTGATTATATAACTATAGACAATTATATAATAATTATATTTATGCTTGATGTATCCCGCACTGTTTGAAGCCGGTCAAATTGAGGACTTTAAAACCAAATAAAAAGAGACTACAATCAATTGCAAAATACAGCTGTCAAACTTATGTCAAAGTGAGCAACATTGGATGTGTGTGTTGTTGAGCAACATTTATTTATTGCTTAAGTAACTATAGACAATTATATAATAATTATGTTTATGCTTGATGTATCTGTTACATTTCCTATACCGTTGTGTTCAATACGAGGAATATCTTGCACTGTTTGAAACCGGATTAATCAAGAGTCCGGCTTATTGAGGACTTTAATACCATATAAAAAGAGACTAAACTCAATTGCAAAATGAAAGCTGTAAAACTTATGTCAAAGTCAAAGTGAGCAACATTGGGAAGTAATTGGATGTGTGTGTTGTTGAGCAACATTTATTTATTGATTACGTAACTATAGACAATTATATAATAATTATGTTTATGCTTGATGTATCTGTTACATTGCCTATACCGTTGTGTACAATACGAGGAATATCCCGCACTGTTTGAAACCGGATTAATCAAGAGTCCGGCTAATTGAGAACTTTAATACCATATAAAAAGAGACTACAATCAATTGCAAAATGACAGCTGTCAAACTTATGTCAAAGTTAAAGTGAGCAACTTTGAGAAGCTTTTAGTAATTGGGTGTGTGTTTTGCTAAGCATAATTTAATTATTGATTATATAACTATAGACAATTATATAATAATTATATTTATGCTTGATGTATCCCGCACTGTTTGAAGCCGGACAAATTGAGGACTTTGAAACCATATAAAAAGAGACTACAATCAATTGCAAAATGACAGCTGTCAAACTTATGTCAAAGTGAGCAACATTGGGAAGCAATTGGATGTGTGTGTGTTGTTAAGCAACATTTATTTATTGATTACGTAACTATAAACAATTATATAATAATTATGTTTATGCTTGAAGTATCTGTTACATCACCGTTGTCACATACCGTTGTGTACAATACGAGAAATATCCCGCACTGTTTGAAACCGGATTAATCAAGTACTTTAAAACCGTATAAAAATAAGAGACTTAACTGTATAGAACTGTATGAATTGCAAAATGACAGCTGTCAACTTGTATCAAAGTGAGGATCTGATGATACACTTTTAGCAATTGGGTTGCTGTACAATTACAAATTGTTTCGAAATTTGCAAAACGTACTATAGTGAATCCATACTGATTGAAGCGGCATAATGCAAGGTATTTCTTGTACTTGTGCTTATGTAAGTTAAACCTGAAGTTAAAGTATTGAACAGTGTGTAGTAATCTTTTATACTTTAAACAATTTTCTTATATAATTTATCATAGTTTATGATTTGATGAATGTGTAAGGGTAACGACCTTATTTTTTTTTATCAAATTAACGATGTTAAACGCGAACCGGAATGCAAATTACCATTTGATGAATGGGTGGTGGCGGTTGTTGGGAAGCGGGAGTGAAAAAGGGGAAATGATTAATTAACAGCGAGGAATGCCTTTCCGGGGCGAAGGAGGAAAGGTACATGGAGGCGATAAATCAGGGCGCGATTGAAATCAAAGGAAAGGAAAAAGAAAAGAAGAAACAAATGGGAGGGAAGCAAAAGGAAGAATAGGAAGAAGTGGTGGAGGAGGGGAGAGAACAGAACCTTTAATGTGGAAGGGAAAATTCAGGCATTCGGGCGCGCATCCGATCCACGATAAATCGCGCAAGCCGCTGCAATTAAAGATAGCGCACGACACCGTCTCGAGACGACAACACGTTCGCGATTTACGAAGAGAGGAAGAATGCTTTGAGAAGAAGGATAAGATGTAGAGGAATAACGAAGAGAAAGATGAGTGAAATCAGGAGAATGATAAATAGGAAGAACAAGGTTCCGATAGATGGAAATAAAGTGAAGAAAGTATTATTAAAAGGAGGAAATGAAGTATAAGAAGTAATATAATTATGAGAAATACAAGATTAATAAAATGAAGGGAATTTAATCATACTTCATTATCACAAAAGGTCTACATAAAAACATTTAAAGAAATTGAAGCATAGTTATTACAAACAGGACGAGAAATGTGAAGAAAATTACGAGAAATGATAAGTATGAATAAGACTAGAAATACAAGGATTTAATATATAAATATCATTAAAAGGACGAGAAAGATGAAGAAGTACGAAAAGGACAACATTAAACAAATAAGGAAAATTTAATATATAAATACAGTGGAACCTCGCTTAATGAGCATAATCCGTTCTAAAATTTTCAGATTTTTACTCGTATTGTGGAACAATTTTCCTTATATAAACTAATGTAATATACGATAATGCGTTCTATATTTATTTTGCTCGTTAAGCGAAACGCTCGTTATGCGAGGTGCTTGTTAAGCGAAGTTCTACTGTATTAGTAAAAACATGAGAAAGATGAATAAAGCTATATGATTCTTAGTTTCATATGAAGATTATGAAAAATACAAATATACAAGAAGATTGACAGTATTTCATGTAACATAATGAAAAATTAATATAGAAATAACTAAAACGATGAGTAAGATAATGAAAATGCAATGAACAAGAAGTTTGAATCTCAATCTCAAGAAGTAGAACAAAGACCAGAAGAACATAAAAAATGAACATTTTGAGAATTATAACTATGAAAGTATTAAGAAATTTCAGAAATTTAATAATTTAAAAAGGAGAATTAAGATTTCTCATCATCTTAGATGAGAAGTATAAGATTAATGAAATTATTGATAAATGAAATCTGAATATGATGGATGAGAATGACGAAAAAATGGCCGAATTGATAAAG